GGAAGAAGAAGAAGAAGAAGAAGAAGAAGAAGAAGAAGAAGAAGAAGAAGAAGAAGAAGAAGAAGAAGAAGAAGAAGAATCGTTGTTCACTCGAGCCAAGTTGGCAGGAGTGAATTAATGTTTTGCATGGCAGATTTACAAAGCGATAAGCCAATTACAGCAGCTGTCAGGGTGGAGTGGTGTTAAATCCGTCCTGTGTCGCTGGCACCAGAGCCCCGCGGCGCGCGACTTCTCGACGTATACGTCGCTGGACGGAAGTCGTTTGACCAGACGTCGATTTGTGCGCGCGCGCGCCTGCCTCGCTCTGCTCTGCGTTATTCTGTGGACCGTCTGTTCCTCTATCAAACTGGCACCAGTCAGTGTCTTTGGCGTACCGGTGTTGTGAAGAGGGGCACACTTGCTGCGTCGCGTCAGTCACAGACCAATAAATATAATGGGAGGATAAGACCACGTTGCTGAAGTCTGTATTTTTAGTTGGAGTCAAGAGAAACACGTCGATACGAAAACGGTCATTTAGGGAAAGAAGAGAGCAAGGAAGACAGGCAGAAAGAAGAAATAAATCAAAGGAAAAGTAAAGAAAGGCTTGACAGCGGCACCGCTCAAGCACCTGCTCATTAAAAAACAACAACAACAACAACAAGCAAACAGAGAAATTTGCAAAATTGACGAACAGGAAAAGAAGCAATAAGCCACACTCGAGCACCCACCAACAACCCGTTTGCCATACCGAAGACAGCGAAGTTACACAGGTGTGTGTTTTCTGTGTGAAGTTGTATTACGTAAACAACACGGCCACTGTACAATGAAACGTTAAAGCATTTGTTGTATTGAGACTGTCATCTCGTGTTTCCGCCAGTCCTGAAGGACGTGAAGGGAGTGTGATTCAACAGCCTTGAACATTTTCCCAAAGTTTTTGGTGAGTAGCTTACGTGTCTTAATATTTACACATTATTTGTTTTTTCCCTTTTCATTATTAGAGCAACGTTACGTTCAAGATCAAAACTGGATAGAAAATTGTTTGTTCAAAAAACAAACAAACGAAAAAAGCATAAGACAAATATAGAACTCAGGTCGAACGTTGTAATTTCGAGAAAGGTTTTAATAACGAAGGGCCGAAGCTCTTGCCATCCCTCAAGTCTGATGCCTCCCAGTACGGAAATAAAAACAAATACGACCAAAATGATGTAATTTTTAAAAAATCAAATTCAATGAAAATACCAGAATATTTTGCGGGTGGTTGGTCAGCACTACTCGTTGGTCCTACTTTTGTATTTTCCACTCTTTAGTTTCTCTGTCTATCTTACTGTTTCCCAGCACGCAAAAACCATTTGTGAGTCGACCTGCTTCTTTTAGTTTTAGTAGAGTTTTCACGGAGCTCGCAACTGCATAAGGTCATGTGAGCGCCTTTTTACTCAAACACACCCACAAACCAACAAACAAACAGACACACAAACACACAAACAAACAAACCCAGCACATTTCTTGACGTTATTAGAGCGAAGGGTGATCCGTAGGTGTATGTGTGTGTGTGTACATACGTGCGTGCGTGTGTGTGTGTCTGTGTGTGTATGTATGTATGTATGTATGTATGTATGTATGTATGTATGTATGTATGTATGT